CCCCACACACACACCTGGATCAGGGACCCCTCCCCAGGGGCTGCCGCTCGTGCTGGGGGGCACAGAGGTGTCTCATCCCGGTTTTCCGATCTCCCACCATTCCCAGGGCTCATGGATCTCTCCCCAGACACTGGATTTGCCCCAGGGAGCCCCGTGCCCCCCATCCCCGCGGGTGCAGGGGGTGCAGTCCAGCCTTGGACACCGTCTCGTTCCTCTTTATTCCATTTCCTTCCACCTTTTTTCTCATTAAAAATAGAAATGCTCTCCCGAAAGTGAAACCCAGAGGACCGACCTCATCCCGAGGGGATCCACCACCACACAGGGGGCTCAGATCCCAACAGGGGGGGGTCCCCTCGCAGCCCCCTCCCCATTCCCCCTCCGTGCTCCGCAGGGGTTAACGCTGTTCCAGAAGGCTCCGAGGGACACGAGGCTGTGGAAGAGAAAGGAGAGACTGCTCTGAGCTGGGCCTGGAGCCCTGGGAGACACCAGGATGGTGGAAATACCGGGATGTGGGAGCACAGGGAGCAGCCACAGCCCCCCCTGTTCACCCCGGGGGACCCCCCTTTGCCTCCTGGGCGATGACGCAGCCGGGATCTCTCCTTGCTGTTTATTTCCAGGATCCCTCCTTGCTGCTTCATTTCCAGGGTCCCTCCTTGCTGCCTCATCCCTCACCCTCTCGGGAACAAAACCCACGAGCTGGTGCTGCTCACGGCAGCTTTTCCAAGTGGGAAGGGGCCGGGAAATCCTTCAGGGGAGAAACCAGGGCCGCGCAATGGCCGGGGATGAGTGGCCTGGTTTATGAAATCACCCCCTCCCCGTGCCCTCCTTCCAGCCCAGGCAGCCTGAAAACAGCAGAATCGACCCCAAAGTGACCCCTCTCCCCTTTCCCTGAGCATGTTCTGTCCCAGAAACCGGGACGAGGAGCTCACCTGGCTGGCGCTGGGGCTGCGAGGCCGATGCGGAGCCGCATCCCCCCCCCGGCGTGTCCCTAGAGCATGTAAATGATGTAGGAGAGGATCACGAGGCCGATGATGGCAAAGAACATCAGGATGAAAATATCCAGCATGGTGAGGGAGGAGGTGCCGGGACGGGGAGGAGGTGTTGGGAAGGGGCTCCCTGCGGTGGCT